TGGGGCAGAGGGAGGCTCAGCACCCCCAGAGCGGGACCCCCCTCCCGGCGCCACGGCCGGGCTGCTCCCTCCCCACCGGAGAGCGGCCACCACGTTCCTCCTGCTGACAGCAAGGGGAAGGCAGGCTGGGACGGAGAGGGGACACTGGAAACCTCCCAGTTCCATGCTGGGAATGGGGACGTGGCGTTCTGCACTGGGTTCGGGGGGTCCCACCATGGAGGTTTGGGGGTGACCAGCACCTCTGCTCACGCCGAGGTGGGGCTCGGGGCTTCCCAGCTGGGAAATGTGGTGGGCACCGAGAGCGGGATGGCCCATGGGGCAGGAGGGGACACACCCCGGAGACGCTCACGGGGTCCCAAAGCAACGTGGATGGGTCCCAGAGGTACTCAGGTGCCCCAGAAACAGCATGGCTGGGTCCCAAAGATGCCCAGGTGCCCCCCTTAAGCAACGTGGCCAGGTCCCAGAGGCACTCAGGTGCCCCCAGAGCCACGTGGCTGGGTCCCAAAGATGCTCAGGTGCCCCCCTGGGTCCCAAAGATGCCCAGGTGCCCCCCTTAAGCAACGTGGCCAGGTCCCAGAGGCACTCAGGTGCCCCCAGAGCCACGTGGCTGGGTCCCAAAGATGCTCAGGTGCCCCCAAAACAATGTGGCTGGGTCCCGAAGATGCTCACATGCTTCCAAAGCAACATGGTTGGGTGCCAAAGATGCCCAGGTGCCCCCCAAATAATGTGGCTGGGGCCCAGAGCATGGCTGGGTCCCAATGGTGCTCAGATGCTCCAAAGCCATGTGGCTGGGTCCCAAAACAACATGGCTGGATACCAAAAATGCTCAGGTGCATCCAGAGCCACGTGGCTGGGTCCCAAAGACGCTCAGGGGCTCCCAAAGCCACATGGCTGGGTCCCCGAGCAGGTGCCCCCCCTAAGCAATGTGGTTCGGTCTCAGATGTTCTCAGGTGCCCCCAAAGCCACATGGCTGGGTCCCAAAGACACTCACATGCCCCCAAAGCAATGTGGCTGGATCCCAAAGACGCCCAGGTGCCCCCAAAGCAACATGGCTGGGTCCCAGAGGTGCTCAAGTGCCCCCAAAGCCACGTGGCTGGGTCCCAAAACAACGTGGCTGCATCCCAAAGATGCTCACGTGCTCCCAAAGCCATGCAGTGGGGTCCCCAAAGCCACACATCTGCGTCCCAGAGATGCCCCCGGCCTCCAAAAGCAATGTGGCTGGGTCCCAAAGCCAGACGGCCAGGTCCCAAAGGTGCTCACGTGCTCCAAAAGCAATATGGCTGCATCCCAAAGATGCCCAGGTGCTCCCAAAGCCACATGGCTGGGTCCCAAAGCAACATGACTGGGTGCCAAAGACGCCCAGGTACCCCCAAAGCCACGTGGCTGGGTCCCAAAGATGCCCAGGGG